TCGAGAAGTTGCTCAGCTTGCCTCAGGTCAAACAGCACATCTAAAAGACAAAATAGTCAGGCTTCAAATCCTCTGCTTCTCCTGTCTTTATCAGGACTGTTTCTATGGAGGCCTCTACTCAGGCCTGTGGGGGCTTCCCTCATCCAACCAGCACCAAGCAGCGACTTTTGTTTAGTAAAAAGTGAGGTGGAATGTAAATGGAAAACCGGAAGAAGCTGGATAAATGGATACTTAGTAGCCCAAACTCATCAGCCTTCTCCTTCTCCTTCCTCTCTTCTTCCTCCTCCTTCTCCTCCCCTCCCCCACTCCTCCTCCTCCTCCTTCTTTTTCTTCTTTTTTTTTTTGTTAATTAATCTTCACCGAGAAAACTTTTCTCCATTGATTTTAGAGACAGTAGAAGGGAGTGGGAAAGATAGAGAAAGAAAGAGAGAGAGAGAGAGAGAGAGAGAGAGAGAGAGAGAGAGAGAGAAACATTGATTGGTTTCCTCCCACAAGCACTGTGACCACAGTGGGTGATGGAGCCTGGTGACAGCAATCAAACTCTGGGATCCTTCAGTCTGCTGGTCAGTGCTTTATTCACTGAGGCAAACTGGCTTGGGCTCATCTGTCTTCTTAAGTGAATTTCAATGGCTTGGGAAATTTGGGCTCTGACCTTTGGACTATATATACCTTTATATGATGGGAACTCCGTTATCTCTCCCTTAACCATTTCCAGAGCCAATTCATGCCTCTTTGAAAAAAAAAAAATTAAATGATTAATTATTGAATGATTGAATGTTAGGGGTGAAAAAGAGAGAAATAAAATTATGAGGTAACAAGAGATCTTAGAAGTAAAGGCCATTTCTGACTCTTGGGAGGTGTCAGTTATTAAGAATGATGTTCTGTCGTTGCCACACATAATAAGTTAATCTTAAAAAGGCATCTATCCTGGCTGATATTATAGTTTTTATACAGACTAGTTTGGTCATCTGACTGTCATTTTAGGTGTGAATTTTGGTAAGCTACATTTACCAGGAATTTTAATTACATTTAAATGGACACCATTCTAAACTATCAAGTCTGTTCTGTGGCATTACTTGCTAGGTAGATTGTTCAATTTTGGGTTTAAAGCAAAAAGGCTGTCACATTTATGTACTTGGGAGGTTGTTTTATTTCCTATTATCTAAAGAACTAGAGGCCCAGTGCACAAAAATTTGTGCATTTGGGGGGAGGGGAGGATTCCTTAGCCTGGTCTGTGCCCTCTCACAATCTGGGACCCCTCGGGGGATGTCCACCTGCTGGCTTAGTCCTGCTCCCCGGGGAATCAGGCCTAAGCTGGCAGTAAGAAATCCCTCTGGCAGCCTGGGAGCCCTCAGGGGATGTCCACTTGCCAGTGGGGAGCAGGCCTAAGTTGCACTTGGACATCCTTAGCACTGCTGAGGAGGTGGGAGAGGCTCCCGCCACCACCGCTGTGCTGGCAGCCGTCAGCCTGGCTTGTGGCTGAGCAGAGCTCCCCCTGTGGGAGTGCACTGACCACCAGGGGGCAGCTCCTGCATTGAGCATCTGCCCCTTGGTGATCAGTGTGTGTCATAGTGACCAGTCATTCCCAGTCATTTTGCTGTTAGGGTCAATTTGCATATTACCCTTTTACTATATAGAATGATACTGACACTGTATTTATGACTTACTCAAGTCAATTTTAATGGGCCTGTGTAGTTTCTGTTCCCTTGAAGAGTTATCCAAGTATACTTGTTTGCATACAAATACATGCATCAATTAACATTAGGGTCATTTTGTTATGAAAAAAAAATAGCCCACAGACCTTTGTAAATGGAAATGTAAAACTATCATTTAAGCATCCATTAATTTTTCCCTTTCATTTGTCCCTGGAATAACTGATTTTTATTCTTCTTAAAAATTTGTTGAGTTTAGTCCAGAGAACCTTAAAGCAAAATGGGTTCCTAGTATTCAATCTAGTGCTTACTAAAGTTAACAATCTTACCCTATAACTTTAAAGAGACCAACAATGATTGGTGAGTTATGATATCATTCAACTACAGCAAAAACCTGGCCTTTAAAAATGTTTATTCTTAAATTAATAAAAGTCATTTCACAGATAAGGTGAAGAGAGGTAACTATACAATTCAAATAATAGAACAGAGTAGTATACAGTGGAATATAAGTGGCCTTTTTTTTCTTTTCTTTTTTAAAAAATATACTTTTATTGATTTCAGAGAGGAAGAAGAGGGAGAGAAAGATAGAAACATCAATGATGAGAGAGAATCACTGATCAGCTGCCTCCTACATGCCCCCTACTGGGGCTCGAGCCCGCAACTTGGGCACGTGCTCTTGACTAGAATCAAACCTGGGACCCTTTAGTCTGCAGCCTGACTCTCTATCCACTAAGCCAAACTGCCCAAGACATAAGTAGCCTTCTTAATGGCATGCATGCCCAAGGACTTTTCAAATTCCAAGAAAGAAAAGACCACAGTGGGATGTAGTTTCAGGAAGGTAAGCACTTTTAAGTTGAAATTCCATAGATACCATTTGATGACTTAGAACTTGAGAGATGATCATAATTGCAAAGAGGGTTGGATGGGCAAGGGAGAGACACTGGGATTCTTGAATTCCTTTTACAATGTCAATAATGGTGAAATCAACCTTGTATTGTTTCTGTTACTTTAACACTTCAAAAGAAGACATTTCTCACTGAAAAGCTATCTAAGGAATCTATTCTGTTAGTTACCCTGGCTTTTACTCCCTGCTATTATTTTTCCTCTTGGGTACTGTGTCCTGGCTTCAGCATTGTCTTGGAGATTCATTTATTCTTAGCTTCCAGAAAAACAGCGATTTTGCCTCTCTTTGTCAGCCCCAGGTATTGTTATCCAGTCTGGGCTTGAGCTTAATTCAGCAGCCACTAAGCCAGTGGTTCTCAACCTTCCTAATGCCGCGACCCTTTAATACAGTTCCTCATGTTGTGGTGACCTCCAACCATAAAATTATTTTCGTTGCTATTTCATAACTGTAATTTTGCTACTGTTATGAATCATAATGTATCTGATATGCAGGATGTATTTTCATTGTTACAAATTGAACATAATTAAAGCATAGTAATTAATCACAAAAACAATATGTAATTATATATTCAATATGTGTTTTCTGATGGTCTTAGGCGACCCCTGTGAAAGGGTCATTCGACCCCCAAAGGGGTTGTGACCCACAGGTTGAGAACCGCTGCACTAAGTGATGTGCCAGGTACTGAGGAGATGCTGTGAAGCAGATAATTTATAGAGTGGACTAGTCTTATGACACCAAATCAGACAGTAGCAAGTGCTACCAGAGTGTTATGACAAAGTGTGGAAGGTGAAGTTAATTCTGTCCAGGAGTCAAGAAAGGGCTCCCAGAGAAGGTAATATTTCAGAGGACCTTAAAGCAAGAGAGCATTGTGGGAGGTAGAGAAGGGACAGATGTGCATGATAGGTCGAGGGAGTACGGGGACAAGGGTTGGACTGTGAAAAGACTGTTTGAGAAAGGGCCAGTGGCTCTGGCAGGTGTGGCTCAGTTGGTTGGGTGTCCTCCCATCCAAGAAAAGGTTGCCGGCTCAATTTCTATCAGGGCACAAGCCCTTGTTGTAGGCTCAATCCCCAGTAGGGGGCACGAAGGAGGCAGAGGATCAATGTTTCACTCTCACATTGTTTCTGTTTTGCTCCCTCCCTTCCTCTCTTTCAAAAAAAGCAATTTAAAAAAAAGAGAGAGAGGGAAAGAAAGAAAAGGCCAGTGGCTGATAGGGTTATGAAACCCCATATCAAGTATTAAAAAGCTACAGGGTGTATAAAAAGAGACATCTGGAAGAAATGTTCATTTATTGTCTGCTGTGTACTTAACTCTCTGCTAGGCACTATAGAAAATATAAGGGAAGGCCCTTTCCTTGTGAATGTTTATCTGGAAGTGATTAAGTCACATAAAATAATTTAAAAATAATAACAATCTAAGGCAAAGCATTAGATGGCCCCCAAATACAAGCTAAAGACAGTATCTCTCACCGAAACCGGTTTGGCTCAGTGGATAGAGCATCGGCCTGCGGACTGAAAGGTCCCAGGTTCGATTCTGGTCAAGGGCATGTATCTGGGTTGCAGGCACATCCCCAGTAGGAGATGTGCAGGAGGCAGCTGATTGATGTTTCTCTCTCATCAATGTTTCTAACTCTCTCTCTCTCCCTTCCTCTCTGTAAAAAATCAATAAAATATATTTTAAAAAACATTTAAAAAAAAGATAGTATCTCCAGGGAGTAAGTACTCCTGCTGGCCTGGCTTCTCCCCACCCCACTGTGGTACAGGCACCCCTGGTATGGGGGCTGGAGGCTTGAGACTCCTTCACACCAGAAACAGGAGTAAAACTCATGGAATCCATATATAGAGCACTTCCTATACCCCTGGCACTTTTCTAGGTAGATTAATTTAATCTCCACAATTACACTATATGGGAGAGTTATCTCCAGTTTACATGTGGGGAAACTGAGGCACAGAGCCACAGCCAGGATTCAAACCTATGGAGTCTAGCTCTGGAGTCATGTTACCATCCTCAGAATCTAGCACAGGAATCCGTATTGGGTGTTAAGATCTTCAGAAAAAGACACAGTTTTCCTTGAATATTTACAGAAAAATGCGATTCAAATAAAAACAAAAACTTGGGGATAAAAAAAAGACTTGAAAGCCCCAAACTTGTGAGAAGTGCATTTTAGCTGTACAGCCTTAACTTTTGCCTGATCCAAGGCCAGCAAGAAAATGTTTCTTTTTTAATTTATATATATTATTAAATATATAATATATATTTTTTCTTTTCTTTTCTTTTTTTTAATTTTGGTTTGTGACAACCTGATGTTTCTGAACGCTAGGGGCTCCCTGATTCTCTAGTTTGAGAGTAACTTTTCCTTTTAGGATTTTTTTTTTTTTGAAGGGGGTGGGGAAAATGTGGCCTTAATTATCCTACGTCTTAGGCAGCTTAAGGAAGGGGCTGTGCTTTCTGAATCCCTTCAGAGCCAAGTGAGGAGGTCCCTCTCGTTCCCTCTCTCTCTTTTTAAAGGACCTCGTGAAATAAAAGTGCAGAAAACAAACCCGAGGCGATCACAACAGCAGCCGCGGCGGCGGCAGCAGCAGGAGGAGGAAAAGTTGGAGCTGGGCTGGCGCTGCGGAGTGGCCGGGCCCCGCGCAGCTCCCATTCATTAAGTCGCCAGCTGCGGAGGAAGGTGGCCGAGCGCCCGCGCTGCCCATTCGCTCGCTCGCTCTCCCAGGCACACGCCAGCCCAGCGCGCCCCGAGCCGCGCAGCTCTGCACAACTTTCTGCTCGGGATTTGGCTCTCTTCCTCTTGGACTTTCGAACGATTTGGGGTTGAGAGAGGAAGAAAGCAGAGGCACCCAAGGGGAGCAGAAAACACCACCGTCTGCGTTGGAAGCAGGCAGCGGAGCCGCACTCTCGCCTCCCTCCGCTCCCCAAACCCGGGCCGACCCGCCACTCTCCCGAGCAGCCTCGGCCAGGAAGCGAGCCCCGCGTCTGCGTGTGTGTCCGCTGTTGCGGGGCGTCTTCGCGGGGCGGGAGGATCGCGCCGCAGCCAGCGCCATGCAAAACTACAAGTACGACAAGGCGATCGTCCCGGAGAGCAAGAACGGCGGCAGCCCGGCGCTCAACAACAACCCGAGGAAGGGCGGCAGCAAGCGGGCGCTGCTCATCTGCCTCGACCTCTTTTGCCTCTTTCTGGGTGAGCGCAGCCCCGCTGTCCCTTGGCCCCTTTGCCCCTTTGCCCCTCGGCCTCGGCGCG